GAATGAACGAGTCCTAAGCCTTGCTGCTGTGGCAGCTCTCTCAGCAACAGAGCCAAGGATCATGGCTTCTGCTTTTGCTGGTTTGAACTGCCTGGTAGATAGCTTGTCCTTGGGGGAGGACAAGTCCACTGAGCCTCCCTTTACAGGTGTGCCCACAAACCAAGAAAGTGGGCTGATCACTGGCCTCACTAGGGCTTGTACCTTTCCTATGACTTCTTCCCAGTGCTTAGGGAGTATATAGGGTGGCCTAATGGTTAAGGAGTTGTGCTGCTATCCCAAAGGCAGGCCGTTAGACCCACTAGTTGCTCTAAGGCAAAAAGATGGGTGCTCTCCTCCTGTGTAATACAGAATCCCTGAGAACTGACTGGAGGGTTAGCTATTAGCTCCAACTCAGCAGCAATGAGAGTTCTTTCAGTACTTAGCCAAGAGAAGGGAGCCATGGTAACCTACTGGGCAGAGAACTGTGCTGCTAATCCAAAGGTGGTGTCTCCAGGGAGGTTAGAAATTCCCCAGCAGCTCCATAGGAGAAAGATGGGCAGTCATCTTTTATGGAATTTACAGCTTCAGAAAACCCACTGGACGGTTAGCTATGAGTTGTTTCAGACTCAATGGCACTGAGGAGGTTTTTTTAGGGTCTTTGGCAGCCTAGTGTCAAGAAGCTGTGCTGCAGTACCAAAGGCACGTGGTTCAGGACCACCAGCCATGCTAGGGGAGAAGGATGGATAATCTCCTCCTGTGCGATTAACTGCCTCTGAAAACCTGCTGGAGGGTCTGCTATGGGTTTGTTCTGACACTACAGTACACAATAACAACAACAGAGAAGTACTATGATGATATAGAAACCTCTCTCCCTCCAAGTTTAACCGTCTAGTGATCAAATTTCTGTCCTAATTATATTTGTTAATGCCATGTTTATAATTTTTTTGTTCATACAGTGTTTTCAGTAATGGAAGACATGCTGAAATGAAGCAATTTTTTTTTTAAGGTATGAATTTTTAGACAATTAGGTAGGACATACATGCATGTTCTAAGTGAACTCTAGAGGTAGAATGGGTGAAGTGGGGTCTGTCTGCACAGATTCATGCACTTTCACAGGTCTCCTCAAGGTGGTAGGAGACCTGAGAGGCTGGCCATGTTGGTGGGCAATATATGTCCCACAGATCATGAGAGGGTAGAAGTTTCAAGTAGTTTCAGAAATTCTGAGATTTTCTATGTATACATGAACAGCACAGGTAATAGCAGTGGGAAGAAAACCCAAAGCTGTTGAGCCAATTCTCACTCATATCTAGGAAAGCTGTCCCACTGGATTTCTGAGGCTATATGAATCAGAAGTGGACTATCTCATTTTTCTCCCTCAGAATGTCTGGGGGTTTGAACCACTGACCTTTTAGTTAGTGTCCTATGCTATTTTAATAGCATAGTGTCCTATGCTAGTTTAATCCTATGCTATTACTGTTGCATGATCTTGAGTCAAAGCCAACACATAGCTGACCCTCCAGCAGATTTTCAGAGGCTGTAAACTATATAGCATGAGGCTGCCTATCACTCTCCCAAGGAGCAACTGGTGGATCTGAACCACCTGTCTTGGGTTGGCAGTGTAGCTCTTTAACCACGAGGCCACTAGAGCTCCCTACTATGCTATTAGGCCTCCTCTGGTGGCTTAGTGGGAAGAAGCTGTGCTGTAAACGTGGAGGCATGCGGTTCGAGGCCACCAGTTGCTCCGCTGGAGACAGATGGGCAATTTCCTCTCCGACAATAAACTGCCTCTGAAGACCTGCCAGAGGGTCAGCTATGGGTCCATTCCGACTCAACAGTACACAACAATCAGAAATCAGGGAATTGGGATCTTCTAAGACTCAAATCCCTATGCACATCCAAAAACTTCTCCAGTAGGGTAAAAAGGGAAGCC